CCGGCCTTTAGAACGAGAGCTCGGTGAGGGAAAGACGGCGGCTGTTGGCTGAGGGAGGCGGTGAGCGGCGGCAGGCGGGGCTGTGCCTGCGCCCTCCACCCAGCCCGGCTTGGCCCGAGCTGCGCGACGGGCAGGGAGAGGGGAGAGCTGTTTAGGAAATCCAGGTTCGTGTGCTGCGCTTCTCCGTGCTTAACAGTATCTCCTGTTTAGGAGCACAGATGCTTCTATGAGCTGCCGTGATTTGTCTAGGTTCCCAAATACCACACACTTCTGCTTTAATGCTATTCAAATATAGTTGCCTTTTTTTATGTGCTTTGACAATGTCTCCGCAGCTTTATTGTGTTAAGATTAACACTAGTTTTTATACACTGTTCTCATGCATAATTATTGGTTTACATGGCAAATAAAGCAAGATAGCTGTACAGCCTTCTTAAAAAGAAAAACTAATTTAGTTTTCTGACATCTGTAGAACCTGAGGAGTGTTCTTTCAAACTAGGTTTGTGGTTAGTAAAACTTGGCAAGCACTGTGGTGTTAAACAGCTGCTGCTCAGAGGATGTGTTGGATTTCAGCCCTTATGGTCTCTGCTGCAGTGACCTTGAGTTCCAGTCTGGATTTGAAAATGGGTTCAAAACAAGTGTATCTTTCTCTTGCCTGGCCTATTGCATAATAAAATTGTAACTTTTTTTATGACTAAATTGCTTTCTAGTTTAATAACAAAACTGCTGAAAATGAAGTGACAGAACACAATACATTCAAAGTTATAAGCTGATTGTAATTTGTAGCTGCTGCAGGTTTTGGGGAAGGTAGGGGCACAGTCTTGGGAGTCTCACATGTGAAATGTAGCTGCTCCCTGGTAAGTTAGTTATGCAGTTATGAAGTTACACCCCAATGCCTGTTTTAAATTGGAGTACCAAATATTTTTATCTTGTTATTATTATTCTGGGAAAAATTTAGCTAAAACTTTGCCTTTTTTCATAAGGGGTATTTTTTCTCTCCCCATCCAGTGCACCATCTCAGCTTCTGTCAAAATATTTAAAGTGCTGCATGTATGTGCACACCCTCCACTTGAACCTGCACCCCTCAGGTGTTCCAATAAAAAGGCATGGAGAACATGTTGTGTTAATTTTCCTTTGTAAATGCCAAAGACCTAAGCAATGTGACATTTTTAACAGGGGAGGGACAGTTACAGAAAGTAGGACTTAAGGATGGGGCTTGAGGAGCCCCTGTCTCTGAAATTGGCCCTTTCTTTGATAAGATACAAGTGGTTGAAATCGCTGAAAGCAGGGCAGCAGTTTATATCGGGATAGGTTTCACCAAGGCATTAGGGCATTTCAGGTTATGGAAGGATGCAGTATTGTCGGCACAAGAAGAATGGAAGTTAATGTCTGTTTAAAAACTGTAAGATCAGTTTTCTCTTCAGCATTTTGCCTTCATATGTACAAATTCTGCATATGAAAATTAATGTTTATTACTTTAAGATTAAACTGTACAAATACAGAAAGGTCCTTTTAGTGAAATTAAGATTTAAGCCTGTAATACAACTCATTTTCAAAGTTTTTTTAATAGCTCTTTGTTTCTAAATCGGTTTCCTATAATTCTGGTGGAGGAAGTTGTGATTCTTGAGCAGGTTCTTCTGTTACAGTTTTATCACATGACCAGCAGCAGGGATGTGTCCCAAAGAGACGGGAGCTGGTGTTTAGTCTTGAGTTCCTTGTTGCGGCAAGGCCGTGAGCTGGAGGAGGTTTCTGGATTCCGTTGGACCCTGGCTGGGCAGCTGGTTTAGCTTTAATAACTCATTGCTCAGCTGAGTGATGAAGCCCTAGGAAGACTCTGTCGTCTGGGGTAAGGGGAGCTTTCCAGGTTCCTGCTGTAAGGGAGATCATGGGAGATCTCTGCTTACTATTTGGATGAGGCTTTCACAGAATGTTAAAGAATATTCCTCCAAGGTGTGCTCTTGCATGCTTCCCTTCTGTGGTTTTGGTGGGAGGGAGGGGTGTTTTTGTTGAGGGGTTTTAGTTTTGTTTTGAATGGAGTGCATGCGCATTAGAGTTCTTAATGTAACTAAAAATGAGGACTGACTAAAACAAGAGAAGCGCAGGATTTTAAAACTGATGTTAATCTTGTCTTGCACTTTAGTTATTTGTAAAGAAAGGTTGCTTTTCATGGGAAACTAGTTTGGTTGTTTGGGGGTTTTGTTTTTGTGTTTTTTAACAACGTGGTATTTTATCTGCACTTATGAGAATGATGGAGCCTGACATGCATTCATTCAGACTAGGTATTTTTGAATTTCTGCTACAAACTCATGACTGGCATTTCTAATTTACTCATGTTTAATTTGGGTTGACAGTCTAAAAATGTTGCATTGCATTTCTATTCTCTCCAAGGTGCTGGATATGTAACAAAGTATCTGAAGTGTTTTCCATTTAAATAGTTTATCAACAAAAATATTTTCATTTTTTAATATGCTAACTTCAATATGTTTTTTCTTGCCACCTCATCATTGTCATCAAGATTTTAGAACCAGTAGTACTAGCTTCTTTTAGCTAGTTCCTATACATACATTTCACGTGGAAAATGCGCTTTACTGCTTTTCCAGCTCCTAATCACTTTCTGGGCAATAAACAAACTGGTTATAACCTGAACTGGGTGAGTAACCTGAGATGAAGGAAATAAATTCTGTAGATGTATAGTTTTAAATCTCTCCAGAGTCCTAACAGTCTGCTTGTCTTCAGCATTGTGTGGAGAGCAGATTGCTGACAGCCACACCTGGCAGGGAAGAAAAGTTAAAAAAGAACGAGAGCATCTGTTGCAGGAAACATTTGTTACTGAGAAGCAGAGATCTGAACTGTTTCCTTTTCACGTGGTGGTAATTTTTGGAAGAGGACGGAATCCATTGTCCTGGTGGCAGCAGAGTCCTTGTGGTCCTTGTACGATTTGGTCAGGCCCCTGGTAAATTTTACAGTGTTTTCAAAAATAACATTTTTAGATGAAATTTATTTCCTTTGAGGAAATAGAGTGGTATGCGTGTTGGTTGGGATTTTTTTCCTATCAAATTGATGGGAGGGTTGTATTCTGTAGCTTGCAGTGTAATAGAGCCAAAGAATATGAGGCATTCTCGGTGAGTGGGGAGAGCAGGAAGTTTGCCAGAGTGAAATGGTTTAGTCATTTTACAGAGTAAAACATTAACGTGAATTTTTTGTTGTTGTCTTTGGTTTGTTTTTTTTTTCTCTTCCGATGTCAGCAAGAAGGCTCATTGTGTGCTCAGCACTGTCTGAATAATTTGCTACAAGGGGAATATTTTAGTCCTGTTGAGTTATCCTCTATCGCACAGCAGTTGGATGAGGAAGAAAGAATGAGAATGGCAGAGGGAGGAGTGTCTAGTGAAGAATATAGAACATTTTTACAGGTAAAATCTTAATTTGAGGTTGCTTGATATTTGCCTGAAATCTAATGCTGTGTAGCACAGACCTGCTATTCTTGCATAGCTAGAGAATGCTAATTTCCTAGTGCTCAAACTTAAGTTTATAGGCTTTTTCATTCATGTATCTTAAATTGGGGATTTTCAAGTGTTACTAGTATAGCTTTACAGTAATTCTACAAAAAGCTACATTATTTTCATCTTACAGGTAGGAAGGTCAGGTTTCACGAGGAGGATGATCAGCAATTTATCCTTTGTTTTTGTAGGCCAGTGGCAGAGATAGGAACAGAAGTTCCCAGTGCTTAAAGTCTTTTAAGCACTGAGCATTCCTAATTTCAAGGTTTGAATTTTTAATTAAGAAGCTTATTTGGGCATTGTAATCAGCCTTACAGACTAGGACATATTGAGTCGTTGCTTTAAGCATGTGCAGTTATATTATTTTCAAAACTGAATTATTTCTGACCTTTTATGCTTACACCCGTTTTCCCTTTTCTCCCTCCTAACCTCACGCTGAGCAGCAGCCTTCTGTAAATATGGACGATAGTGGATTCTTCTCAATTCAAGTAAGCACGGTTCTATACTGACAGATTTTTTTTATTTATGCAATATATGTTCTCTTATAAAATTTAAATGGCATCGAGCTTTTTCATCTAGTTTCTAGTTTATAGGCTTAATGGGATTAAGTGCGGGACTTCAGAGTTTTCCATTAAGAGCAGTGACGTGCACTTCTTCAGTTCATGGGCCCTTAAACACATAGGAGAAGTGTGGACTCCTGAACTGGGAAGTGACACCTGCTGGCAATAAGCTTGATTTCAAAGTTGCTTCTTATAGGCATTTCAGGTGGACACCTTGGCTCCCATGGACTACAGGTGGAAAATATCTGCATTCCAGTTTTTATAACATACTCTGGACACTTTAGAGCTGTTTTTTTCTCTGTTTTTTTTTTTTTTTAAGGACCATAAGGGAAAAGTAATTAATCAGAAATACTTAAACCAGAACAACAACAAAAAAAGGTATTGCACACTGAATTGGGGCTTATTTCTAGACTAGAGCTGTAGGCAATGCTTTGTACCTTTGGCTGTCTCCCAAGCTTTCAGAGGTGCTTGTCAGTGTTCCAGAATCCCTCGAGAGCCTCTCTTCCTTATGGCAGGACAGGGCTGGTTTTCTATTCAGTGAAAAACCATTAACAATGTGGCATTTCTTGTTTTCTTGATTGGGCTGCTTCAATATTGAAGCTGGAAAAAAAAAAAGCTTCCTCATGTTCTACTTTTTTTTGTCCTGTCATTGCTTTGCTCACTTGCTACATAGTTGGCTCACTGAAGGGAAGATGAGTTGTTAATTGAAAATTTCTTACAGCATTATTTCAGATAGCTTTAAAGAGTTATAGTAAAAGAGTTTGTGCTAATGTACCCAACTGATCCTGTGACAATCCAGTGGTGCAGAATTTCCAATAGTTGCTGTGGGGAAGGATGACGTTGTATTGGGGGGGAGGGAGGGCAGAGCAGTACATTGAGAGCGGAGAGATGACAATTTATGAAGTGTCTGTGGGAGGTGAAGTTACAGCTTTGTCTGGGGGAGGGAGCTTATTAACACATCTCAGTTAAATCCCAGTTTTGTTACTTCTCCTTAGATATAGTATGTGTATTATGTTTGCATGTGGATTCATGACAGCTGTGGTTTGAATAATGTGATTCCTAGGTTTCCTAGCAAAGTTTTGAAATTGAAGTCTTACGAAAACAATGCAATTGTTTCTAGCAGCTAAGATGGTTGTGTTGCTTAAATTTGATTTGCCTGGTTTGACTCACGAAAAGTGCTATTTTTTGACAGGTTATAAGCAATGCCTTGAAAGTTTGGGGTTTAGAACTAATCCTCTTCAACAGCCCAGAATATCAGAGGCTTGGGATCGACCCTATGTAAGACTTTTTTTCTTAACACCCTGCTTTCATTTTACAGAAAAATAGTACTCTTAATCTATGATGTAAATCTTCCTTTAAAATTACTATTTCAAGCTCTGTTGCATTCTGATGTTTTTATTATCCCCTCTGTCTTTAATGTTTTCCTTTTGGGGGTGTATATCAGCATCTGTCCTCTGTGCCTTCATGATATCTCAGTATCTGTGGCATCACAGGTATATGGAGATTTCAGTAATGTTCACAACTTCCTAAATGTTATAAAAGCAGTATGAGTACTCTGTAACATCAACAGTTGTATTTCTGAAATTTTATAAGTTTACATTGGTGGTAAAAAAGAACTTAAACGTTAATATACACTCCAATATTAGAGTATTTAATTTTTTCTGTACCTTTTGTTTTTCTTTTTACAGAAATGAAAAATCATTTATTTGTAATTATAAGGAACACTGGTTTACAGTTCGAAAGTTAGGAAAACAGGTGACATTGTCTTTTTTTATTTAAAAATTGAATTCAGAATGGGGGTGGAAAAGTGGTTGCGAGTAGACCATGTGTTGGCCTTTTGCAAGCTTTTGCTGCAATTTGCTTTAATAGTATCCCATATTAAAAAAAAAAAAAGTAAACATTTGTTATCACAAAAATGCCAGGTAGCATTTTATGAATTTTAGCCTGGGGAAAGACCCTAGGAGCAGTTCCCCAGTGAACCTGTCCTCTAGGGAGCTGCAGCTCCGGTACGGTCTCTGTGACGTCTCAAGCTCTTTTCTATTTTTCTGTATGAAAAATAGCAGAAAAAATTTACGGGGGGTGGGGAGGAGTAGGGAGTCCTAGACAAGGATTGGGATCCCTATAGAATGCAGACTTATTTTAATGCACTAAATTATTGACATTGTACAAATTATTTTGCTCATTTAAAGGGACAGTAGGTATAAGAAGTTCAAATTTCAAATGTATTAATATTTATGATATTTAAGAGTATGGTATTTAAGAGTATCCATCAGGATAAGGTTGGGGAAAGTAGAATCACAACTTTGCACCATTTTAGAAAACTTTCTGAAACAGTTGTATAATTAGCAGGAAATAATTATTAAAGGTAAGGGATGGCCATACAAGTATTTGGTCCATATATAATAACAACTCACACCCATGTCTGTTGTAATACCAGTGCAGTGTTTTATTTCGGTAGCCAGTCATTGTTCTGGATCATGCTGCATAAGCTTTTATGAGATGGTTTGGTGTTTGTTTTTTTCGGTCATAGAAAATGTTTATGAAATAAACTTTTAGATTCTACAATAGTAGACAGGAGTCTCTTTACCCATTTGGTTCGTTTTGCAAATAGTGGCTACATATGTTGTCATCCAGGTAAAAAAAAAATAAATTAAACTCACCTGTGAGTAAACAAATTAAACTCTACTGTTCTGCTTTAGTTTAAAAGTATGGCTAACGTTTACAGGAAATTTTTGTATATTTGATATCAAAAAGGCTGAATGGTCTCTTAAGTATGGGAATGTTCCTTATCTATACAAGCATGTTGCGTGGAATTTTGTGAGATAAAACATTTTGGGCTAGAATGCTAAGTTGGATGGGGGATGTCTTTTGCTTGTACATGTGGCTAGACAGTACTAGGTGTCTGTTATCTAGAGAGAAATGAGAAAAGGTAGACTAAATAGGTTGCATTAGGTTTGACCTGCTTCTCTTCTGTTACAGTTAAAGCAAAACTAGTTTACCAAGCTCCTCTTCCATGTTCCCTTTTAAAAGTTCATCTGTAATCTACCTATCATATTTGTTTATGTAATTTTTTAATTCCCCGCTCCTACACTGTTGGTGGTCTTACCCTTTCCTAGTGGCAAAGGGTGTTTTTGACAAATTAAGTGACTGAATGAGAGAGAGAATGGTAGATGGTCGCTTACCTATATTCCAGGTGAATTATAGTATGGGCCTGACTGCAAGTGTATGACTGCATATATGGAAGCTTGGGTAGATAACTGTTTTTGTGAGAATGGAGATAGAATCCTTCTGCTGTCTGAAATGATGCTTTCTGGTTAAAATTGGATAATATTGAACAAGGATGGTATAAAAAAGGTTCTTCAGATTGTTTGCGATATATGTGGGGTTTTAAAGGTAGAATATTTTGTCGTCCACGTTGAATATATTTTCTCTGTAGAAGAAGTATTATAAATGATTAATTGTCTTCTTCAGGGAACTAGAAATGGCCCGTATGTATTTATCTCAAGTGTCCCCTATTGTAATATTATGCTGTACTACCAGCATGTTAAATTTGAGTTAATTTTTCTTAATTTTTAAATTTAAAAATTAGCTCAGAGAGAAGTAAACAATAGTTTTAGCATCACCAGTTATTAAAGGCAGCATGTTTAATGAAAGCATTTCATGGAAAGAATTTAACTTCTGCTTCCTGTATCTGTTAATTTCTTAAGATCCAGCATTAACTTATGAAGGGTTTTTTCCTTCATTAGTCTCTGAACAGATTTAAAACTAGGATTAATCAGAATTTTAGAATGATGTCTGAAATGATTCTTCTACTATTACATTTTGATTTATCTGTTTGCCTGGTGCCAGTGTTCAGTAATGGGAGAGAGCATGCAGTCATTGCCCCTCTTTACATCTCCTCTTAGCTGAAGAGTAATTTGAAGGGTGACCTTTAGCAGCATAGGTATTGTGCTTCAAAAGACTTTTAATTTGATAATTTATTTTACTAGATTTATTCGGATATTCCATCATAGAAAATGACCACAATGTACAGAAATGGATTACCGAGTAATCTTTATGCTAATTTGTTCTCTCAAACCTTTTTTTTCTTAATTACAGTGGTTTAACTTGAACTCTCTCTTGATGGGTCCAGAACTAATATCAGATACATATCTTGCACTTTTCTTGGCTCAATTACAACAGGAAGGTAATAGTAACTTGCAGATGTTAAATCTCATTAATTAAAAGTAGGTAATAATCATTATTTATTAGAACTTATGTATTCAGTTAACTACCCTTAGTTTTATGATTGAAATAGTGAAATAACCCAAGTCCTTATAATGAAAGGTAGAGCCTTACATTGTAATAAATTGCACATCATTGTGTTCCATATAGTGTGCATTTTAGAGTGTTTATGCATGCACCTTAATGCTGTAGACTTACGATTTATTTTTCTCAGGTTATTCCATATTTGTAGTAAAAGGTGACCTGCCAGACTGTGAGGCTGATCAGCTATTGCAGATGATTCGGGTACAGCAGATGCAGCGACCAAAACTAATTGGAGAAGAGACAGCACAGACAAGAGATCAGAGGTAAGGTAAATAGAGATTTCATTTTAATGATGTTCAGTGTGACTGGTTTCCATGATTAAAGCTTACATGGCAACAACCCCCTTAAGACGTAATTAGAAGCACCTTTAGCGCAATATGCTCACTACTGTTGCACACAGTAAACTCAAGTTGATAGAGTACAAATGGTGTATTTTTAAGTGTGCAAAAATATCTTAATAAAGATTCAATCATTCCATGTGCATAAGTGTTGTATAGTGCAGATTTTTAACTTCATAATTAAGATATTTTTCCAATTAGGGTAAAATTGATTAGCAAACCTTACCAACCTACGGTTAATAGTAACCAGCCTACAACTAAGACTGGGTTGTGCATTCTGTCGTAAGTAGAAACGAACAAGAAACCCATATCTGAATTCCACATCATATAAACCATACAGCCTTCCCTTTTGGAATAATTTCATTGTAAATGTTGTGGTGCTGCTGTGTTGTGATGTATACTGCTAATACAAAGCGTCCTTGAAAGCATATAAAGTACTACTACTGCAATAATTTTATTACATTCTCATAGTGAAAAAATTGCATACTGATAAAAAGGCTTAAGGCTTTTCAGAGGAATTAATTATTATGTCTTCCACTCTGTAAAGGTAAATTGGTGTTGTAAATTGACAGAATAAAATCAAATGACTTGGCAGTAACATAGAAAGTGTGTATAGTTTACAGAGGATCTGTTGCTGTAGTGTGGTCATGAAAGCTTCCTAAGGAGACCACATGCACTATTTTCTGCTGGTGTAACTGTTTAAATAGCAATAGGCTTGAATCACGTGTATTACTGCTTTTTGTAGCCTTACTGTTTTTGAAGTTTTTCTTATCAGATTTTTGTCAAGATGTGCTTGGGTTTAGAGTTGCAGTATTTTCATTTTTACAGCTCTGCTTGCAGGTCTTTTGTGCTTTTTCCTGTAGAAATGAAAATATTTGTTTATATAACAGATTTTCACAATAGAAATGGTTTTTTCCAAAGTTCAATCAGCAGAAAATATTTACATTAAATCTCACAATAAAAGTTAGTATCATTTCTGTCTGAATTGTGCCATAAACGTATCGATTTCACAGGCTACCCAGAAGTGATGTGGATCAGGCAATAGAAGTTAACCATCCTTTCGATGGAACAGGCATGTTAGATGAAGATGAAGCGAATTTTCAGAGAGCCCTGGCTTTAAGTAGGCAGGAAATTGATATGGAAGATGAAGAAGCAGATCTTCGCAGAGCCATTCAACTCAGCATGCAAGGTGCAGTGCTCGTCCAAATTTCTCTTATAGCGTTTCTGTTGCTTATGCTTTAGGCAGCTACTGAAATCGGCCTCAGTCAGCCACTTTCTCCAGCATGCATCAAGCTCTCTGAAAAGACTGGCTTTGAGGCACAGGACAATCCAGAATGTCCTGTAGCTATCTCCTTCCTGCTTTTTGAAAAGTTGCACCTTTTGGGTTAGCATAGATCATGAGGAAGCAAGAACAAATTGGCAAAGGGTGGCAGGAGGGAAGGGAAACAGTCCTAAGGTGAGGAGGGAAGAGAGTATTACGTGAAGTTAGCCTAGGTGCTTATTTCTCCAGCAAGTCTCTTTCTTCCTCTCAAGTTTGAAGACATTTTCTTAAGCTATATTTCGTTTACTAACTTCATTTTACTGTAATTAGTAGGATGTGGCATGTTCTGGTTTTAGGTAGTCGTCGAAGTCAGTTTTCGGACTCATTACCACAGAATGTTCCTCAGTCGCCTCACACGAGTCAGACAGACTCCCTTTCTTCAGAAGAACTGCGAAGGAGACGACAAGCATATTTTGAAAAGTAAAGTAGTTGATAGAGAACTGCATGTGGAAGTACATGGCATATTTTTCAGTGCTTTTTGGGGCATGGATGGGTTTCTGACTGAGGTCCAGCTTAGCTTTTACCTCTTAACGTGTTTTCCTGACAGTACCTGAATTTTGCTATTCCCAGGTGGTTCCTATGAAGAAACCTGTAAATAACAGGGCGTCTGTTAGTAATGTAACATCAGCCTTGTGAAGAGAGAAAACGTACATGTCATAGAAGTATTTTAAATGAAATCCTGTATATTTCTGTAATTACCTTCCTGAAGAAAAGCATTCTTTCTCTAAGACTTTGCTTCTGGTAATGGTGCCTCTAATGTGCATCACATGAAAACGTTCTGTGATATTTTATGTTGCTGTTCTGGAGTACTTTCTTAATACACAGTTGAGGTATTGATGTGGCTTTTCCTTATCTCTGTCTCCTAGTGATGGAGGAAATAAACACCAGGGAGAAATGCTATGGATTGGATGAGTTAGACTTTGCATGAGAGGATGAGAGTGCAGAACATCTGAATTCTGGGAAAATAGTTGTGTGGCTTGGAATATAATGTTGGGAAGACAGGGGTCTGAAGGTTCGCATGGTAAAACGATTGAAGAGATTTTAGGTGTAGGGGTCTTATTGTAGCCAACAGTTTCTACTTCTCACTCTTGGCCTTCCTTAGAATGAAATAGCCTTGATACAGGTCTCATACTGATGTTAATCTTACTCTCATATAAATTTATAACACTTTCAGGCAGCAACAGCAGCTACAGCAGCAAGATCGGACCCCGAATCTTCACGATAAGCCAGCTCTAAGCTCAAGCACTCCAGAAGCTGACCCAGGTATTGTTTTTTAAACTTATTTCCAACACTGAAATATTTATGTCTCTTTCACCTTTGGATCGTGCCCTGTTTCCTAAGTTTCCTTGTCTGCCTACTCCCTCCCTCCAGCAGCTGTTCAGACTGTGTATCACAGCCATGACTCTCTCTGGCATCGAAGCAAAGGATCACTTTCTTGAAAAGCCTGTTCTGCTTTGAATGTCAATATCCTGTATCAAAGTGAAGAGCGTTCCTATTAGACCATTTGAGTTGTCTTTGCTTTTTGTTGTTTTGTTTGGGTCGCGTGTTACAAACTGTAATCTTCGGGATTTGTGCCAACAGTTTTTCTAGGTGACTTTTAAAGTTGTATGACAATGTAATAAACTTGAAGTAATATCTGACAAAACTGCTGGAACCAGTTTTCAGTAGAACATAAATGTGTGTAGGCCTTGCCAGTATTAAGTATTGGTGATCCAAAACTAATGTGTATTACTTGTTACAAACTGACCACTGTGGATAGAAAGCTAAGTGGAAAATGTTCAAGGATTTAAAAAAAACAAACCCCACAAAAACAAACAAACAAAAACCCCACCCGAAACCAGTTTTGGGGGTGGGGTGGAAACAGGTGGGTGTGTACAAAAGGAACAAAGAAAGCATTTAACTACAGTTGACAACTATCTCTGTGCATTAATTACAACTTGTATGCATTTATTTTCTTTAGGAGGTGATATGAGTGAAGAAGACATGCTTCAAGCAGCCATGAATATGTCTCTGGAATCTGTTAGAAACCACTTGAATACAGAAGAAGAGAAATGATACAACTTTTTTTCCCTCTTATTGTCAAAACACTAAGTCTCCATTATAATTTTACTGTGTGGATGTTGCACAAGCAGGGTTCATTTCAGAGTTCTGGAAGCAGG